CAGTGCACACGCGTTTACAGTGCACACGCGTTTACAGTGCACACGCGTTTACAGTGCACACGCGTTTACAGTGCACACGCGTTTACAGTATACACGCGTTTACAGTACACGCGTTTACAGTACACGCGTTTACAGTACACGCGTTTATACACCATGGCCGGTAGATTGGCGCTAGCTGGCCGAGTACGAACCGGCCTAGCCCCCGGCCTAGGCCCTACAGTGCACACGCGTTTACAGTGCACACGCGTTTACAGTGCACACGCGTTTACAGTGCACACGCGTTTACAGTGCACACGCGTTTACAGTCCACACGCGTTTACAGTACACGCGTTTACAGTACACGCGTTTACAGCAGTGCACACGCGTTTACAGTACACGCGTTTACAGTACACGCGTTTACAGTACACGCGTTTACAGTGCACACGCGTTTACAGTGCACACGCGTTTACAGTGCACACGCGTTTACAGTGCACACGCGTTTACAGTGCACACGCGTTTACAGTGCACACGCGTTTATACAAGGGTGCGTCTTGGCTCCCACCATCTTTAACACCGCCATTGACCATGTCATGGCAAAGACAGTGTCCCAGAGCGGCTGTGGTGCAAGCTTTGGCAACGTCACCATCTCCGACCTGGACTATGCGGATGATGTAGCCATTCTTGCCGAAGTAGTACAGGTGCTCAAGCATGCCCTGGAAGTCATGAACCTGGAGACACAACCCCTCGGACTGATGATTAGCTGGGGAAAGACTAAGGTCCAAAGCCTGAGCGACTTCCAACCGCCTCCTGCTCCCCCAGTGATTGATTCCCATGAGGTGGAGGTTGTCAACAAGTTCAACTACCTCGGCAGCACGATCACCACCGACTGCAAAAGCACGGCTGATATCAGGATCCGTGTTGCCCGGGCCGCCACAGCGATGGCCAACCTCAGTAAGATCTGGTCCGACAGACGGCTGTCAGTGCATACCAAGCTCAGGCTTTACAACAGCCTAGTCCTCTCCATCCTGTTGTATGGTGCTGAAGCATGGACTCTGACGTCCACACAGGAGCGGCACTTAGATGCTTTCGATGCCAAATGTTTGCGCAGGATTCTGGGAATTAGGTGGTATGACCGTGTGACCAACATCGCCTTACGCCAGTCAACAAACCAGCCTCCAGTCTCCCAGAAGATTCGAGCTGCCCGCCTCCGACTCTTCGGCCACCTCGCCAGATCATCTCCGCCCTCAGAACCAGCCAGACTACTGCTGGAACCCACACCTACTAACTGGACCCGACCCAGGGACAGGCCCAGACAGAAGTGGCTGGATGTCCTGTCATCAGACCTGAGAGCAGCAGGGCACAACCTAACTACAGCCTGGGCAGCGGCGCAGAACAGAAGTGCTTGGAGGACACTTTGCCGGGGCGCTACGCTTCTAGGAGCATGCGGACTTGAATGAATGAATGAATGAATGTAAGTTTGTTTCAAAATGTTTCACAAAGTCATTAGAGATCGATACTATTTTAAATAGTTTTTAGCATTTTATATCTTAGATCTAATGTTAGCCTTTTATTATTGATATAAATCCTTTCTAGTGTACGTGAAAGTGATCTCGAACCAGTTTAGCTCACTGAAGAGCTAATCTTCCACTGGTCGTGACAGAGAAGACAGACGCTATGTACAGTATTTACAGGTTCATTGTACCGGGGAAATTCCCCTAGCTCTTTTCGACAAACACAATGAACAGTGGACCACGGCTTAACGTCCCGTCTTAAGGACTGCAACCCTAAACAGTAGCGTGCATGTAGGGTGAGCGACAACAGCTGGGATTCGAACTCCCAACCTCTTAGGCCAGAGGCAGGATCGCTAACCACTGGACTACGCACGCTAGTACATTGTATTTACATCGATCCCTGCATTTATACCCCCGGGGACTAAACAAATAAAGATCCACTATTAAGGTGGTTATGTCAACGAATGTCAAAGTGTTTCGTGAGTTCTACAGTTTTACAGTGTCCATTTTCATTGCTTCACTGTACGACGGAGGAGGGTCTAGATCCGGCGTGGTTGTTACGGGTCTGTGAGGTGTAGGCGCGGTGGGTATGGTTGCGCTCCCGTTGGTAAGTGTAGGCGCGGTGGGCGGTGGGCTGTGAGTCCGGGTTGGGGTTTGGTTTTGCCAGTTGCTCCCGGAGGGTGTATTTGCCCTCCCGTTGGTTGGTGCTGTCAAGGAGGGTAGGTACATGCGTTCCCGGCCGAAAGCTTGATGTTGAACTGGCCGAACTGTATAAAATAAACAAGACGACAATTTAAGAACGCAAACCGTGAAGACGGTAACTTACTCTATTAATACTTCACAAGAACCACATGTCCTAGGAACAAGAGGGGGAAAAGGTCAGTAGCTTTCCATTAACTCGATTGATAATTAATAAACATGGACCATACGTCACCCAAAGGTCCTCATTGGGTATGTAAATTAGGTCATGATTTGCATTCAAAAATGTCGATCATCGTGTAAGCTACTTTCAGTTCATGACACTCTGTGGTTCCAAAATCTAAAACAAAATTGCACCTCTACAGTTCCATATATTTTCTACTTAAAAACTAAGAAGTGACACTAGTTTGGGACCCCTAGCATCTTGTTCTGGAACAGCAGGGCAGTTTGTGTAAAAATCTTAGAGGGAGGATAACTCAAGAAGCGGCGGACGGATTGTTATATTTTTAGTACGTAGGTAGCTTAAGTGATGCTTGACATAATTAAATGATAATTATGCAAATCAGGAGCTTATTTGTATAATCAATGAGAAATTTCTACAAATCTTCTGTATTCCTAAAAAAGCCTATGGAACACTTGTGACGTATAATTGGATATGAGAGGTACAGCTGAAGATATAGATTATGTAAATGAAGACCTTATTTGCATAATTAATGTCAAATTTCTATAATTCCATAGCAGTAACTGTCAGGCCGTTCATACTTGCCGCATTTGGACTTTAAGGCAAGGTGAACATCAATAAACATATTTTTTTTATTTAATCCAATCACAACTTATTAGCATAATATATGAGGAAGTCCTAGAATAGCCTTCTATTTCTACGTTATGATAAGGCTGCCATTGGGTGGAGAATATGACCAACTGATAGACATGTATTACTTTCCACGATGGAAATGATCAAAATAAGAAAAATGTATAATTTCCTCAGTCAACATCATTTGGCGAAGGTATGAGATCGTGGAACTCTTATTATAAAGTGACGTTTAACAATTTGAATGTGATATTTCAACATGTTTTCAATGCATCCTCATGCCGTATTCAGTGAGTCATTCAGCTCTATCCCAAATAGGTCACGACCCGTTCTTGATTGTTCTAGCCGTGTGGGGAGGGGGGTGGTCACTTCCGGGATGACATTCTCATAGAAGATCGCATTTCATGACACCAAAACCAAACAGTTGGCACAAACCAAGGTATTTTTGGGTAGTCATCTAGCCGATTTAGCTCCCACATTATGTGCAGGATTCTTGGTTCAACGGTTGCTAATAAAACCGTGGATATCGATCGCTGTATTACGAAACCTAGCCAGGCCAAGTGCTGCATGTTTATCGTCCCATATATGCAAATTAGGTCCATACATATAGCAGAGGAAGTGGAAGAAAATGACATGAAACTCCCATACCTGTAGTAGTCTGTGCTGCCGGTGGTCTTTGTCTAGAGTTTCTGGGTCGTCTGCGACAACAATAACACCCCAGGCCGAACATAAGTACAACCAGGCACGAACACACGCCGGCTGCGATACCCGGCAACCCGCGAAAATCCCCGGAAACCCCCAAGAAGATAAACAAACCCAGTGGGATCAACAGTATGAAGGCGGTAAAGAATGAAATGACGGCACATGGATGTTGGCTAAGTCTTGTTTGACGAGGACTGCCGTACCCTACGCCAAAGCTGCCCCCTCCACCACCACCGATATCCCCTCCGCAATCTCCCATGGATCCTCCAAATTGAATCTCTCCTTTACGAAGACGCTACATGTACGTGTGGTAAAATACGCAGCAAGCTGAAGACAACGATATTGAACTGACAAGACTCGAAGTAACAGTACGGGTTCCAATCGGGACGTCCAGTACTAGTGTGCGCATTTCCTCTCTGATTCCGATGAAGTACTTCCTGTTTACATGTAAAATAGCTATGACGACGTAGGGGCAACTTCCTGTTGTAAGGGATGGTATCGGGTTACCGGCGCTACACGTTTGACCCCGGTGGTAATCTCCAAGCAGATCATACGGTGGCAAGACTGAATCTGTTGCCCACAGGAGTGTCCAATAGCCACTGGGCACTCCTCTGGCCACGGTCTTGCCATCGTATCTGCTTGGAAATTACCTAGGAGAGTACCCAGGCTAGTATGTGAATGGGTTTGAGTAAGAATTGACAGAGCAGACCATATGCGAAGGTAAACATTATGCATTTGCTTTGCAAAAGTTACCTTTCTAGTTTTCTAATCTAATAGCTAATCTCATAGTACGTACCATTGATACAAAGTAAGAACCGTTACCAGACGGATGCAATGTTGGTATCAATACTTAGTTATTCAACAATGTACCAGAATATATGATAACTTTCTACCAACTATAGCTACTTGTCCTAAACATCATTACACAATTATATATACCGTTGTTTATGTTTATGTATAGAAATTAATATAGTAGTATACATGCAAGCATTGTACAAATCGGAGGGTTGTTTCAAAACATGTGACGTCACCTGTTGCTGATTTGCTATATAATATTGCTGCCATAATCTGTTCTAAAGATAGTTCATCTTTACAAAAGTACTGGAAGAATTCGAAGAACAAAATAAAATATCGTTTTACAGTACAGAGAACGTTTGAGCGTTATACTATACATCATTCTAATACTGAACTTATCACCATTAGACAGTGCGAGTAATTATTATGCTTCTTTCCCGTCTAGATATACCATAACAAGTAAATAAAAAGCGCAGTCATCTTCGTTGAACAGTTCTTTTTGTCGCATAGAAGTGATTGACAATGATTTAACATCTCTTTTTTCACTAGACTGCTGAATTCAAATGTTATAGTCGTAAAGACATATCTATGACAGTTCCAAGAATACCCGCGCAATGTCCTAACGCCCGACAACTGTCACAGTGTCCAGTTCAAGTCTACAGTTTTCTGGATATGTCCATGTTGATCGCTTCACTGTATGCTGGGGCTGGTCTAGATCCGGTCTTGACGCCATGGACGTGTAGGTCCCGAAGTCCGTCGGTATTTATTTATTTATTGATCTCAATACGCCCATGTTGGTTGGAGGAATCCCGGAGGAGGTGGTTGTGATCCCGTTGGTGGATATGGTCCCGGAGGGGGTGGTTGTGATCCCGTTGGTGGATATTGCAGTCCCGGAGGAGGTGGTTGTGATCCCGTCGTTGGATATGGCAGTCCCGGAGGGGGTGGTTGTGATCCCGTTGGTGGATATTGTCCTGGAGGAGGTGGTTGATCCGCAGGTGGNTATGGCAGTCCCGGAGGAGGTGGTTGTGATCCCGTTGGTGGATATGGCATTCCCGGAGGACGTGGTTGTGATCCCGCAGGTGGATCTTGTCCCGGAGGGGGTGGTTGTGATCCCGCAGGTGGATCTTGTCCCGGAGGGGGTGGTTGCCCGCCGAGTGGTGGTGTTGTCCCGGACGAAATGGTTGCGATCTTGCCGGTAGTCTCAGTCTCAGAAGGGGTATTCTGGTCCCGAAATAAAATGAAAAATTTCAATTTGAGAATGCAAGAGCTAAGACGGTAATTAGAACCTTTTGATAAAATTTAGTCAAAACATATAAAATATTTGTGTAAGGCTTTACGATATAAGACTTTTTTATAAAACTTTTTTTGATATAAGTTTAAAGAAACAAAATATTTGAATCCCATACCTGTTTCCCATACTTGTTCCAATCCCATCTTTGGTTGTTCCGCCGGTTGTTATTTTTAATCGTTTCCTGTTTTTTACAGTGATATGTCAGGTAGATGAGTAGAATAGTTAGGATCAAACACAGGGCGACCCCGATACCAAAGATCGGACTAAGGACTATCGTGAGGCCGACAAATGCAGCGAAACCTAAAGCGGGACAGAAAATACAGACAAATACACAGAATGCTTTGGGATGGTGCTCCAATGACAACGGTTCACTAGTAGTAGTACTGCTCCCTCCTCTGGTTCTGCTTGTCTTGGTTCTCTTTGTCCCGGGTGTGTTTGTCCTGGACCTTCCGCCACTGGAACTCCACCCACCAAAATCAAAACCTCCTCCGCCACTATCAGAAAACCCTCCGCCACTGTCACAACTCCCACCACCTCCGCCACCACCACCACCACTGTCACAGCCACCACCACCACCACCCCCTCCGCCACTGTCACAGCCCCCACCACCGCCCCCTCCACCACTGTCACAGCCCCCACCACCGCCACCTCCGCCAAAATCACACCCCCCTCCGCCAAAATCACAGTCTCCCATGGATAGATCTGCCTGCCCGCTTTGGGGGCCACAATACTAGTACTCAGCAAGCTGAAGCAGTACACTCAGCGATAGGACGTGTACTAGTATATATCTGAGGCGTAAAATGGCACGAGTCCCAAACAACACGTCCTATTTGTACATTTTCTACAAGCACTTTCTGTCAAAAATAGCAGGCGGCTCGCTATGGCGTCAGTACCCTGACACACCTACTGTGTGAGTCATGGTCGAGTACACAGAGGAATAAAAGAAGGGACATTGTAAAATCAAGACGGTTAACATACCTTTTTTAACAGCCATTCAGACTTCAAAACACACTTAAGTCTCAGAAGATATATCTGTTAGATAACTTAAGACGATTTTGACAAATATGTAATAAGTATGAGAGGGAAAACAAAAAGTATAATTACAATCATACGCTTTTAGTACCCTAGATAAAAAAATTGCCTCGCCCGGTTATTAACCGAATAACTGACCCAAACATGATCGTAGCCGATGATTATCAGGGGTACTGTATTTCTTAAAATAGATATTGCGTGAGGAATCGTGACAAACTAAGATGAAATATGAAAGAAAACAAGTTATGTGGACCATTTAAAAAGATAATTTGAACTAAAACCAGAACAAATAGGCACACAGCTCCTTAAAATTCATATATTCAATCATAACCCAACTGGCCAGCTCTTTCAATTCGTTACATATCAATCTGGTTATATACAAATACATGTATACAAGAAAAAATTCTTTCTTTAGTGTTTAATCTTTTGAAATGTTTTAGAGTATACTGTGGCGAATAAATTAAACACGAGACCCTGTGCCCAACCTGTGTAACCACACGTAAACGCGGTCAATGAACCCAAGAGTGGACGCAATGACCTCTAAATTTAAGCGTAATGCACACTTAAAACAACTCTGTAATCCTTTCGTATATATTTTAAATTATTATACAGCTATGAAGAGATAATGTAGATATGAATAAAGAAGATGCATGATTAAAATTGAGTGTTGCCAAATGAGCACGATACATTATTAAAATTCAATGGGGTAACATACAATAGATCTACTTGTGAAACTGCTGCGTACGAATGTTGAAATGTAGTAATACCATGTCCGAACACTTTAGGGATTGTTTTATTCTACAAAACGTACATAATGTTTGTACGTACATTTATAGCTTGAAACGTGATTTGCGCTATAGGTCGATGTATAGCACACTCCATTATATGCATTGAACATTGATGTTCGCCCGTAGCAATAGAAATTTCCATCCCTTTGTTCAATGCTGAGACGTTCTGTAGGTCAAATATTTGAATAATGAATAATGCCCGGTTATTATCGGTCAATGCCTGACAGTTACTTTTGATTTTTACTTTAAAGTAGAATAGTACAAGCTTCAACAAGAATTCTGAGATTTCATACCTCTATGAAATATATGAGTTTTTGTAAATGTTTTTTTGCCTCAGTGATTATGGAAATAAGGTCGTAATTAGCATAATCTAGTTCAATTCATGGTTTTCTAAATTCAAGTTACAATATTTGAATAATGAATAATGCCCGGTTATTATCGGTCAATGCCTCACAGTTACTTTTGTTTTTTTACTTTAAAGTTGAATAGTACAAGGTACAAATATCTGTAATGTATTTTTGTTGTAAAGACTGTAAAGGGTTACAGGTTCTATCATGACTTTCCGAAGCGGCTGTTTTACGCCGAAGGGGTGCTATACCGACAGAGGTACAGATACAGATCATGCAATTCTTACTTTCCAGAATTCCACCATTTGTCTACCTCTAGGTCCTCCTGGTCAGATTCTGGGGCCCTTATATTCACCCCCATTGCTATGTCTACCCTTTTGTCCGTCTCCCCACGGGCAAACATACATCCAAACCCACACAAAATTGTAGCCTCTTTTACAGACATTCCGGGATCGGTCTTTTTTTGAGGGGGTGTTCTCTGATCGAACGTAGATCATGGGCAATAGAAGCTCCGGCCGCCAACCCTACATAGGTATCCCTTATTCTATTGCTTGCGATCTACGTTTGATCAGAGACCCCCCCCCCCCTCTCAAAAAAAAATGAATAAAACGACCGATCCCTGAACGTCTGCAATGTAGGCTAAGAAAATTGCGCAATGAATCTCATGGTAAATATCTTTCTTGCTTCTCTTATATTCTCCAAGTGCTGCCGTTTTTGTCCAGATTTCCAAACAAAACGACAGTAGCACATCATCATTTATCACTATATTTTTCTTGTTTTTCTTGTTAAAGAAAGTTAGGAAGAATGATTCAATTTTGCATGTATGTAATTTTGTATATTTTCACATACTAACTTATATAGTTTATGATCCGGTTCTATTGCTTAAAGATTTAAAACACCTATGATATCTAGAGCATGTCTTTAATGTAAGATTAAGTAGTAAGTGACACGTTTGTTGATTTCTTATCTTCTAATCTATTAACCAAAATGGTGAGTACAATAATGTTCTCATAAGCAAGCAACAGCACTACAGCACTCTGATATTTGTATCTATATTTATATGTGATTAACTTGTATTTTATATCCTCCTTTGCAGCTACCAATTAAAGTTGTTATTACAACAGCAAAGTAAAAAGTAAGAAGCATAACGTACTTAATGAATAAATAAATATTGATATTGATGTCCAATGATGTACCAGCAAAATAAAATCAAATCTCTCTATCATCATCAAGTTACTAGGATTTTAGACTTACTTACTTGGACTTAGGAGCTCTTTAGCATCATTGCACCTTGTTGGCTATGGTCATGTATAGAAAATGATATATAAATGAATGAGATAGTATACATGTAAATATATACAAAAAGAAGGTCGTTTCGGCTTAGGAGTTCTTTAGCATCATTGCACCTTGTTGGCTATGGTCATGTATAGAAAATGATATATAAATGAATATGATAGTATACATGTAAATATAAACAAAAAGAAGGTCGTTTCGGCTTAGGAGTTCTTTAGCATCATTGCACCTTGTTGGCTATGGTCATGTATAGAAAATGATATATAAATGAATATTATAGTATACATGTGAATATATACAAATAGCAAGGTCGTTTCGACACAGCAACTTACTAACCTGTATGTAACTGTAGCAAATTGCAGTTGTGCTGCCACAATCTGCTCAGTAAGTACTTTTTTTTTACAGAAATACTGGAAGAACTAGTCCAAGAATAAGAAGTAGATATCGTTTTACAGCCGAGATAATTTGGGGACGCTATTTATATAAGCCCATATGCTGAATCCCTGTACTTTATCAAGATATACCATAATAAGTAAATCAAGGGAGCAGTACTGGTCACATCCATTGTGCAGTTCTTTCTGTCGCAGGGTTTAACAGAAGCGATAGAAGAACGTTAACTGCCTGACAATGGTTTAATCTGACGGCGGCTACCTTTTGTCATAAGACTGTTGAATATAAATGTTCTAGTTCTAAAGACACATCTTTGACAGTTCCAAGAATGTCCTCGTAGCATTGCAGTGTCCCGTGAAGTCTACAGTTTTCTGGATATGTCCATGTTGATCACTTCACTGTATGTTGGGGCTGGTCTAGATCTGGTCTTGACGCCATGGACTTGTAGGTCCTGAAGTCGGTCGGAATACGCCCGTTAGCATGGATCCCGGAGGGGGTGGCTGTGATCCCGTCGGTGGATATGGTAGTCCCGGAGGGGGTGGTTGTAATCCCGTTGGTGGATATTGTCCCAGAGGGGGTGGTTGCCTGACCGCTCGGAGGTATTGTCCCGGAGGGGGTGGTTGCCTGTCCGCTCGGAGGTATTGTCCCGGAGGGAGTGGTTGTCTATTCGCTCGGAGGTATTGTCCCGGAGGGGGTGGTTGTAATCCCGTTGGTGGATATTGTCCCAGAGGAGGTTGTTGCCTGACCGCTCGGAGGTATTGTCCCGGAGGGGGTGGTTGTCTATTCGCTCGGAGGTATTGTCCCGGAGGGGGTGGTTGCCTGTTCGCTCGGAGGTATTGTTCCGGAGGGAGTAGTTGTCTGTCCGCTCGGAGGTATTGTCCCGGAGGGGGTGTTGTCACGGATGAAATGGTTGCGATCTTGCCAGTAGTCTCAGTCTCAGAAGGGGTATTCTGGTCCTAAAATAAAAAGAATAATTTCAATTTGAGAATGCAAGAACTGAGAGGATAATAAGAACATTTTGATAAAATCTAGTTAAAACATATAAACCATTTGTGTAAGGCTTTATAATATAAGATT